ACCGCAGTGTGGAGGGGAGTTTTGTGAAATTTACCATGATATGTTCTAATTTCCATGCAAGTACTAGGCTGCTGCCTTGGAGATAAATCATGAAAATTTCTTCAGGTGAATGTGGTTGACACTGTTGGTTGCGGAGACAGTTACACTGCAGCTATTGCTTTTGGGTATTTACATAATCTGCCAGCAGTTAATACGCTGACACTTGCAAATGCTGTTGGTGCTGCAACTGCCACTGGTATTGGAGCTGGTCGAAATGTCGCCACTTTGGACAAAGTTTTACAAATCTTGAAGCAATCAAATCTCAGCGAAGATGACAAGTTTTGGAGTCAGTTGTTTGATCAAAATTCGGAGGGACTAGAGGTTTTATTTCTCTCTGGAACATCTATAAATGGACATAGTGATAGATTTGCCCGTGTTCCTATACAAACTGTTGTTTCTCAACTTATGCCGAGGTTCGAAGCTCAGGCTATATTGCAGTCTTGACAGGAAACAAATATACCAATTATATCCATTAACAGTTACATTGATATTTTTCCCTTTATAAAGCTTTTTCGCGATTCAGGCTAGCGTTATAAAGCTTTTTCGCGCCAGTGAATCCAGAAGGTTTTTCTGAAAAGTTCAGTGGTGCTTCAAAAGTATCAGGTCATTGAGAAGAGTATATAAGTTTACCACTGATTTCTTTTCGGAACTCAGTGTTAACAATTATTTATTACTCATTAATTGAATTTATAGAAACTGGTGTTTTCTATGGTAATGTTGTGATGTTTCTTCACCTTTTGTGGAATTTTGTTAAGGCATATGATGCATATCTGAGACTTTGTAAATAAAGCAACTTGGATCTTGCATGACTTAGTTGATTTTTTCTTCGGTTGTTCCTGAAGGAATTATGCTATTTGTTGTAAACTTCTTAATCATCCAGTGCTTATTTGTTTTCTTAGATGAAATGTATTGCGAAGAGCATCTACCGATGATGAGAGTATTTCCTTTGGCTTCGGCTAGATAAATAGGAATGATTTTACAGATCTATTACTGAATATTCCTTTAATTTTGCTTAATTTCTCTGAAATCTAATGCGCTTCTCAAATGAGACTGGTGCAGAAGAAAAATAAATCAAGTACTTGTTGCAAGACCATACGGTACATCATCTTTTTTAGCTAATCTAAGTTTAGTCTCTTCTTCTAATGATTAGTGATAGATTAGTTAATAGTTCTCGCAATCATTTTTTGCAAGTTGAATTTGAGTGCAACTTTTGGATGCCCAAATGTTCCGTTCAGTCCTCCCTTTATTATTAGATTTAAAAGTTGAACTTATCTGGAAGCAGAAGTAATCAAACCCAAGATGCTGTAAATTGTTTGACGGACCAAAACTTTTGGCTTGTTTTTTGGTTAAAGGGTAACGTCATCATTGCCATTGAGAAGAGCTCTTTTAAATTAGATGGTAGTACTTTAATTGAGTGGCAACTGTACTTGCTAGGTGTACTTTGATATTAGCCGACTAATAAGATCAACAAAAGAATTTTGTGTAACAGCAAGCATCATAGTTATTTTTCCAATGGAGATGGGCTCTTCAGTGATCTTTTCACAGTTCACACTTGAGAATCCGAAGTTTTTTTTTCTTAAAGTCAAGTCAAAAAAGGAAGGAGGAAAGATGAGTTAGAAAAGAGCATTTCTTCCACATCTTAGAATGATTTGAGGTGAGCTTTTCTTGGCCTTGCCCTTTCCGTGTACAAATTCTGTGTCATGAATATTGTCTCGCTTATAAGAAGACTATTGCACGTTCCACCTTTGACTGAAGACTTTGGATTCTCATTCCTTGTTGATTTAATTACTGTTGTCACTAGAAGATTAATTATTGGCTGTAGGTCGTGGACCGTGGGTCAATGGGCCGGAGATTAGGGCTAATCAGGCTGAGGCGCTAAATGGCGCTTTGTAAGACACACTTTGCACTTCGCACGGAGGCATCAGGGTTAGGTGGGGCCACGTTGGCTGCCTCGCAGGCTGCCTTGCAGCATGCGGGCGAGCCTCGCGTTTGCAGCTCGCGCGACCCTCGCGTTTGCAAGAGGGAACGCGACCCTCGTGTTCACGCGAGGTAAGGCTGGTAGCGACCCTCGCGTTGCATAGAAGCGCAACCATCGCACTCAGACGTTTCTTCATGCAGCAATTAAAACTGCATGCATTAGTTACAACAATTAAGTCATTTGCTGTTATAATCATAATTATCATTATGATTTGTAATAGTCAAATGACCCTTGAGCTGGCCTTAGAGGTCTATAAATAGAGCCCCTTCAGGCAGCTCTCAAAGATACGAAAAGAAAAACACATTGAAGTGTTTAAGCTGTTGTGCTGTTGTTGTAGAGTATGAAAACGTGTAAACTTTAGTCTGTGCCCGAAGGAACAGAGCCCTGAACAGAAAAGTTATTACAGAACGAAAGATCTTTGTTTTAACCGAAAGACTTTTTGAACTGAAAGACTTAACAGATCAAGGAGATTTTTTCTTGAACCGAAAGGTTTTGAACTGTAAGGTTTAACAGATCGAGGTGATCTTTGCATTGACCGAAAGGTCTTATAGATCGAGGAGATCTTGACAGTACTTGGTCGGTGCACACCAGTATACTGTATTGTTGTTCCTGAAAACAGTTTGGCATTGAGATCCTTACACCGAAGTAGGCCAAATATTGCTTTAAGCACAGAGTTTCATAAACTTACATCAACTAAACTTGAAAAGTTTAAAAATATAGCACTTCAGCTATCTAACAGATTTATCTATTTTATTCTAGATTTAGCCATAAGCACTAACAATCTTAAGCAATATTTCTGATTTACAATGGATCCTACGAGGACATTTGGAGCGGACTGTCTAGAGAACTTTGACAGATCCAACTTTAACGCATGGCGTCGAAAAGTGATTTTTGGGATGCAACTCCTGAAAATCTACTATGTGGTTTCTAAGGAGAAACTTGACTCTGAAGAAGATTCTGAGTCTGAAGCCTCTTGGGCTAGAGATGATCACTTCTGTAGGAGTTATCTCCTTAATTACCTGGCCGATCATTTAACAGATGCTTATATCAATAAGCTCTCTACAAAGAAAATCTGGAATGCTTTGGAGGACCAGTACAAGGATGAGGAGAAATTGTCTAAGTCTCACCTCATTGACAAGTTTCTGGACTTCAAGTTCGAAGATGACACTGAGGTTTTGCCTTAAGTCAAAGATCTTGAAAAACTTGTTATGAAGTTGAAGGATGAAAAGACCAATCTTTGTCCAACCTTCATTTCTAGTGCAATTGTCAACAAGCTTCCTCCATCTTGGATTTCATTCTCCACTGACATTCGGAGAAAGAAAGACAAGTGACTCTGTCTGATTTGAAGAGGTTCATTCAGATCGAGGACGAGATTCAGACTCGCACGAAGAATGAGCTCCTTGCTAAGCAGAAGACGTTTGCTAACATGGTAGTTGTTAACTCTGAGAAGGATACTAGTTCTTCTTCCAAGAAGAAAAAGAAGTCATTTAACAATAAGAAGAACCAAAACCCGAAGAATCTAAATATTCAGAAGAAAGAGTTCCAGAAGAGTGGCAAATGCTTCTACTGTGGGAAGCATTGATATTTTGCTAAGGATTGCAAAGCACCAAAGAAGGGAACATCACACAATGTTAATTAAGTAGACAATTATGTGGCTATGCTCTTTAAGGTGACAACTCCCAACAACATCTCTGGTTGGTGGTTAGACACAGGTGCTACCTGTCATGTCTGCTCTAACAGAGATTTGTTCTCTTATTATGTTGCTGTCAAAGAGAACACATCAATAACTGATCGTTCTGTAGTATCTGTTCTTAGAACTGGAACTGTGGTGCTAACTCTCTTCAGGGAAGACTCTCACATTGAAGGATGTGAAATATGTTCTCTCAATTGCCAAAAACTTAGTCTCTAGAAGTCTGCTATGTGACGCAAGTACGAGGCTGAATTTCCAAGGAAGAAAGACTGTGTTATCTTTTAAGAAAATGTATTTTGGAAATGCATATCGTACTAATGACATGTATAAGATCAATACTATTGTAGCCAACTTAATTATAAATGAAATATCCTCTTCTGCTTACCCCTCTATGTTATGACATTATAGACTGAGACATGTAAATTATAGAAAACTGTCTAGCATGGAGAAGTTAGGATAACTTTCAAAATATGGGGGTAAAAAACCTGAGAAGTGTGAAGTCTGTGCGTAAGCGAAACTGACAAGGAAGCCTTTTCTAAGTGTCACAAGGAGCACCAGCCTATTGGATCTGATTCACTCAGATACTTGTGACTTCAAGAGCTTCGTCACTCAAGGCGGCATGAAGTACTTCATCACCTTCATTGATGACCATTCTTGCTTTTGCCACGTCTACCTATTGAAATCTAAAAATGAAGCCTTCAGCAAGTTTATTGAGTTCCGGACTCGTGTGGAGAAGCAGCTTGGACTTCAGGTGAAACAATCAGGAGCAACAGAGGAGGAGAATACCGATCTAAAGAGTCGGAAGCATACTTCAAGAAGCATGAAATCATTGCTAAAATGACTGCTCCGTATTCTCCGCAATCCAATGGGATTACAGAAAAGAAGAATCGCACATTGACCGAGATGGTGAATTCGATGCTAATCATATCTAGTCTATCTACTTGCTATTGGGGAGAGGCTTGCTGATGGCTAACTAGATTCTGAATAGAGCATCCTATTCCAAAACTGACAGTACTCCTCATCAATTATGGTTGGGATAGTCAGATCCTTTGGATAGTCTCAAAGTGTGGGAGCGTCTCGCATATGTTCGAGTTCCAGATATCAGAAGGTCTAAAGCTCAGACCAAAGGCAAACATGTGTGTGTTTCTTGGCTTTGCTGAAGATAGCGATGCTTACAGATTCCTGAACCTTGGAACCAACTCCGTCATTGAAGCTCGGGATGCAGTATTCTTTGAGGACCAGTTTATCAAGGATAAATATTTATTGCTCAAAGATATACTAGATAATATTGGTACGCCAGAAGTACCAGAGGAGCCAGTTTCACGATAAACTAAAAGTGTCAATGATGAAAGAGTTACCGAACCACCTTCCAAGTGTGTCAGGAGAAAGAAAAATTTTGGAGATGACTTCATCACCTATAATGTGGAAGGAGATTCACAAACTTTTCAGGAAGCAATGCAGTCAACAAACGTTCTTCTGTAAAAAGAAGCTATAGATGATGATATGGATTTATTAATCCAAAATCACACTTGGGAGCTGGTGGATGTATCTGAAGGTGCAATGTCTATCAGTTGCAAGTAGATCTTCAAGAAGAAGCTTTGTCCTGATAGTACTATTGAGAAGTACAAAGCAAGACTGATGGTAAAAGGATTCTCTCAGAAAGAAGGAATACATTTCTTTGATATCTATGCCCCAGTTTACAGGATTACTACCATCAGAGTGCTTATCGCATGAGCGGCGATAAAAAGGTTTGTCATATATTAGATGGATATGAAGACTGCCTTTCTCAATGGAGATCTCACAGAAGTGATCTACATGAAAAAACCAGAAGGACTTGATGCTCCAGCTAGTAAAGTTTGTGAACTTGTTAGTTCTCTATATGGACTTAAGTAGGCACCGAAACTCTGGCATGAGAAGTTCGATGGGGTTGTTTGCAATAATGGGTATCAAATTAGTAAATTTGACAAGTGCCTATACATCAAGGTCGCTAAAAGAAATATGGTGGTTATCTGCTTCTATGTGGATAATATGCTCATCATCAGGAGTGATTTGGAGATAGTAGTATCTATTAAGAAATTTATTTTAGCATAGTTCAGTATGAAGGACCTTAGAACTGCAGACGTAATTCTCAGAATTAA